GCTCACCTACACGCAGCAGTGTATGAGTGACGCGTTATCGTGTGCGAGTCACACGGATATTCGGACGGCATTAACGCCGGTGCGTGTACACTCTTTGCACTAGTGAACACTAGTTCAGAAAGTTCTTTGAAAAAGAACAAATCTAATAGCGAATTCGGTAGCTTGCACTAGTGCGCACTGAGTGCGCATTAAGGCTTGTTTACAGTACATTCTTATATTTAAGATCGTGTCTTAAATACATATTTAAAAACATTTTAACTAATAAAATGATTCGTACGGATGTTATACATATCATATTATGGTTAAAAATATTTGAGAATTTATTTGAGAATTATTTAAGACAATCTTTAAATATAATAACATACTATGAACAAGCCTTAGTGCGCACTCAGTGCACACTAGTGCAAGCAACCGAATTCGCTATAAGATGTGTTATGTTGCGTTCGGAAACACACACTGCGTGCACACTACTAGACGATAGCCGTTGGAGTGAACGAAATATAAGAGTGAGATAAAAAGAGAGAAAGAGTACTCGAGTGACGTTTCCGAACGCAGCCTCAAACAATTGAAAAGCACCCATTGGCCGGTATTCATAATCCGATCTTATATTTAAGATCATCTTAAGTACTGTCTTAAAATGTCATGAACCAATCACAGAGCCGTATTCGCATCTTAAGACATTATTTAAGACGGTTTTGAAATAAGATTCGACTATGAATATCGGTCTATGAGTGTGCTCTGTTCTTGTTTGTTCCTGAAAGTTGAACAAGGACAGAGGACGCTCATAGCGCTAAATAGCGTCTCCCCGAACACGGCCTATGAAAGGTCTGCAACCAAAAAGAAAGAGAGAGAGCATTTGAACGCAGTCGTAAAGTTGTGAGAACTAACCTAAAATAATCACTATCATAACTGTATTGTGTGTATGTGAAATATTTTATATTTTTAGATAAATTATAAAAACAGCAAATCTTGTCAACTTATTGTTTGTGGTATCCATAAAGAATATGTGACAAAGATATATATTATAGTAGAAAATGATAGTCAGGCATTTGGCACATGTACCTATGTCGTATCTATTGAGGACTTCGCTGCAACTCCAGAAACCGCTATGTTCAGAAAAATATTTGTTTCTCGGGATATTTGCCTGCCAAAAGAAGCTATTACACAAAGATATAAAAATATTTGATCATACTTGTGAGATAACAACTTACAATGATTACCGATTAAATTACAAGCCTGTCATAAATATTGTGATACAAACTCTTAAAGAGATACTGAATATATCAACGCACGAGACAAACAGAATTTTAGCAACATATCCGCAGCTTAAGAACAGATCTAGAATAAATATTCTGAATAATTATTACAACCTGGTAGAAGCTGGTGTACAGCAGAGTGCTATTAGAAAGAATATCTGGTTATTGGTCCATAATGACATCAAACTCAAAGAAAAACTCAACTGTATTAGCACTCTTAATATGAATAACGAAGAACTTATACCATGGCTACGTTTGACTCAAGATAAATTAGTGAATAATATAAACTATATCCAGACCGATCCAATACCTTATACATACAATAAGATTGAATATCTTGCTTATAGATTGGAGGTAGGAATAGATGCAATAGATATTTTCTTGCATTATGCTTTATTTCTATAAATATATGTTAAAATAGATTTTTAAGAAGTAAAAAGTAATTTTTGTATTCACTAGAAAACAATAGTATTTAAAATACAGGAGATTGCAGAAATTTTTCATAATTATGACACAGATATTAATGTGATTACATGCTGTTATATAAATATTTATTGTAACATTATATTTCTTTACAGTGTAGTATAGAGGAATTATGTAAACTAACAGTACAAAATCCATTCATATTGAGAATTCCTATTCCTTACATAGACAAAAAATTGAATGTATTGCATGGTAAGAAAAGTATTAAATAACATAAAATATCTGTGAAAAATTAATTTTATTCAAATTTTCTTTTCTTAGAATATGATGTGAATAATAAAAATATATTGAAGAATTTATGGGTACTTCGATATAGTGAAAGTCATATACGCCATAAGTGTGAATTGTACAAAAATACAAGAAATCCAGAAATATGGGCTACAAGACCACTTAAGGCTGTAACGAGGTAGGCTATAAAGATTAAATATGAATTAGTATTTTTATTTTTTCTATTTTTATCTCTCTATTTGTCTATCTTATAATATTGATTTATTTTGTAATTCATACAGTGAATTACAAAATTTGAAAAATAAAATATTAGAAATAACCAAGTGTAAGTAATCAAGTATTTCAACATTCATAAGAGAGTCTATATATAACAATTTTATTTTTTAATCAATAATATAATAAAGTGAATACTTAACTCAAATAACATACCAAAAAAGTATTTGACATACACAGCTCAAGTAGAAACTAATAAGAATCAGAGTTTTGTAAATATTTTTGTACATAAGTATTCTTAATATTTACATAAACAAGTAAATACAAAATGAGATATAATTCTAATTTTATAACTAAAAAGAAAAAGTTTTTTATGTAAAATGTGTTAGTAAAGTATTTATATCATCTTCAATGTTTACTAGCACACGGAAAATAAAAATAATCAGGAATGAAATAACATGTTATATTCAGTCACATGTGTTCAAATTTTCAAATATGATTTTTTTTAAATATAAAATACTTGTACAAACAAGTTTTATATCTCATCTTTAATGTATTTTATGTTTAAAAATTTTCCATTCATTTATACTATATATTAGGTTTCACTTTATACATAAAATAACGATTGAACTACTTATGCGCATTTATTTATAGAGTTGTTCAGAAAAATGATGCAGGACAAAATTATAACATTAACCAGTATTTATTAAATAAATTAAATATTAAACAAAAAGATCTGAACAATTTTACCGCAAAGTGGCCGAATATATTACGAATAAATTCAAGAAAATTAGACAAAATAATTACCATATTATATAAGAATGGTATTACTAGCAATGAAATAATCGAAAGTGGAGCACAAATCTTTTTCTTTAGCCAAGATACTATACAGAAACGAGTGGAGATTTTGAATGAAAGAAATATATTTATGAGAATCTCTGTGCTAAAACTGTCTAACAAATTGTTTGAACGGTATGTATTAGTCACGTAAAAATGAAAATAATAAAAAGCAAAATTTAGAATATAATCGATATAATGTACAATGTAGCTCACTCTTATAATTTTATATTATGCAGATATATAGAAAAAGATGATACATCTAAAAAAAGAAATCAATTGATGCAATATCATCAAAATAACAAGAAATATTTGATGTGTAAATTAAATGTCGACAAAAAGACTATTGCAAAGTTTCTCAAGAAGTGGCCACGCGTCATAAAAGTAGACATACTAAAGCTGGAAGAAATGTTCAACATGTTGTATCAATATGGTTTTACGAATAACGATATAATAACACATGGACAGATTGTCCATTATAAGGTAGAAACTCTTCGCAAGCGAATAGAAACGTTAAAAGAAGCTGGCATAATACCAAAAATCACTGTAATAATGTTCAATAGACAGGATTTTGATCGTTTTATGAGGTTACACACAATGGCAAAATAATAATACATATAGAACAAAAATATATTGTATTTATTTTCTCAAACCTACCTAGTCTTTTATAGTCGTATAAATTTAAAATAATTCTCTACTTTTACAGCATTAAATCAAATTATATTTAAGTTTTACTATAACATAATATATTTTTGTATTATGATTCGATTATTCTCTCTCGTATCAATTTTCCACGATTTATTGTGTCGTCAAAATTTTTCCCGGAAAAAAATTATTACATAGGGTGCGTTCGGGGAGTACGCTATCAACGTTATCACGTTCTTCTATCTTTCCTTCTATCGTTCCTTAGATATACAACAAGGATAGAATGGCTGCATTCAGCATACTCAAGAGTTGCACAACAATTGAGCAATTCGTCAATGTAATTGATCTAGATTTAAGGATCTAACAGTAAGAACTAATAATCATTGAGTGCTTACTAAACGCTTTTCCGCTGAGCGCGCGCAATGACATAGTAGCGCTGAACAGCACTCATAGTGATAGCAGAAGGATAGATGTGGTATATTAATTTGCGATAAGAGAAAACTTGTAATCATTTAGCTTGCACACACACACACACCACTTTTGGCTCGTACGTATTTTGCGTGCATCTTATAATTCATTGACAATTGCTATTAAATTAACATAGCAAATAAAAAATGCTTAGAAAGATGCTCAGAAAATACCATTTCAGTTTATTGCAAATGTCACGGTTTCAACGCAAGCTGATATAAAATCAAAGCAAAAAAGCAGCGACAGTACTAAAAGTACTATAACTCAAAGTAATTTTCTTTTCACTGCTAATTAGATCTTCATCTCATAGACTTCTTGTATCGATGATTTTTACACGCTTCAGATATATTGTCATAGAGATCAAACGTCAGCAAAGATATATGGTTCACGTGCATAAAGTATTTATATGATATCCGTTGACTTCTGATATGCCACTATTTTTACAAAGTTTTAACAAATATGATATGTGATCGTCATTCAGCATCGCATGATTTTCATTTTTTAGCTGATCTTTCAAAGAGAATCCTATAAGATCATTATAGTTAATTATCTTTACCCCGGTTACGATGTCATCCAACCATATTGTATTTCCGAGATGAAGGCGAACCTGCAGACAATTTGTTTCCACGTTTTTTTCTTTTAAATTTTATCGTAATTTAGCAGAGAAACTCACCTTTCCAGTAACATAAGATCTCTTGTCGACGTTTTCTGAAAACCATTTGTGAACTGCATTAGTAGCATAATGATTCCAAATATGTTCTTCGTCGTATGGCACTACATTGGCTAAGAATACTTCTACAATGTGTGTTGGAAGATCGAGTAATTTTTTTGGAATGTGAATTAATTTACAAATCTGAAATATAAAAAAATGCAAACTCACATAACAAAAAATGAAATGAACATAAAGTGAAATGAACATATTTTCATTCACATTTACATTCTGTATTTAGTACAATACTAATCTCGTGGTCGTTTGGACTTATATTTTATTAATTCATTATATAATTAAATTTCTAATTTTTTAACTTTGATTCTCATTATATTTAAGTCCAATACAACGACCAAATTTACGAGATATCATTTATAACGCGCAAAATTTGTATATACAAGTCTTCCAATATATAAAAATCTTACATTGATGCATTCGTGTATAAGACCAGTGTCAATACATCTCACATCTACAAACTTTGAATCTTCCGAAGTATCTCTATCGTATCTAATGCGTCTGATTTGTACTCGTTTGAATGTGTCAATAGATTCTTCCAGAACGCAGATATCACCTACGTTTGTTGAAGTGCACACTTTTCTGTAATGTGAAAAAAGACAAGTGAAAAATAAATAATAGCACTAAAAAAAGCATTAGATTACATATTACGGGATATTATTCAGCGTATATATACCTATTTTCGATATTTTGATAGTACTCTTGAATCTGTTGTGTAATTTGCATATACTCCACACTAGGAAATATTATTTTCTTCGAATTATTCGAATGCGGAATGTGTTCGATCAATCTTACGGAAAAATGAGTCGCATCGTGAACATATAACACCATCATTTTCACCGTATCATTTCTGTCGAAATAGAATCTCATCAAACACTGGTTTGGTTTAATAGAACAATATTAAGCTGTCTAAGAGAAAATTATATTTACATCTGTATGCCTGTTTTTGGCGTATCGATATCAGGTAGTATGCAGTGTCTGAACACGCAAGCATTTTCGTTTGGACATAAGCCTAACGACTTTATGTTGTCACATATATCATAATTTTTTTTATCCCTTTCTAATGTAATCGCGATACGCTAAAATCATTTTTTCTTAGTCTTTCGTTAGCAACAAAACGTTGGACAAATTAATCAATAATATTGTGTTACCGTACCTCGATATTTTCCAACATATCTGAGGATATTGCAACATTCATTCGTTGCATTATCCTCACTATACTTTTAAATTGTACATTATTGTGTTCGTCAATAATTATACTAATTTTACACTTTGTAATGTCCTGAAATTAATACAATATTATTCACACAACATTTAACTCTTAAATGCTTATATACTCAGATAGCCAAACCTGTGCGAACAGATTTCGAGCAAAACTTGCTACCAATTTTTGATGGCAAATAGATAACAAATTTGATGCAAGATCTGTTATATCAAATCTTGCTGCCAAACTGTCGCCAGATATGCTACAGAGCCTGTTGTCGGATAATTGCTGCAGATTTGCAGCAAAAACCGTACAGAGTTTGTAGCAATCTGACGACAGATTGGCGGCAGAAACCGCGCAGACCTTGCTATGCTGCAGGTTCTGCGCGGTTTTTGCTGCAAATCTGCAGCAATGGCCCGACAGCAAGCTCTGTCGCCAAAACCGTAGCTGAATGAGGACACAGATGACTATGGTTTTGGTGTAAATTTTTTACCAAATTTGCTGCCAATTTGCGTGCAGTCTGCGCTCAATTTGCTTACTGGGTACTAGATTAGTTTCAATCAAATTGTTTCTTTTTTTCGTTTAAAATCAACTAATTAGTGTGATTATTTTATTCAAACGTAAAACGTAGATTCAACATGAATGCAAAAGTTCTCTATGAGTTTATTTTCTTTTTTCTTTTCTTCATATTAATGAAAATTTACTTTTTAATTAATTAATATATCTGTGTCAAATAAATAACTTTTCGACGTGAGTACTTAGAGAGGAAGATTAGATAGAAGTATAACAGTATAATGTATTCATTAAAGAACTAAAAAATTAGTTCTGGAAACCAGTTGTTTGGAAACAAATTAAAATTATAATATATGTTTCAACTAACTGCAAGATAATGATAATTAAATTTAATACACAACTAATTTATTTTACCTGTGCCAAATTGTCTAAAAGCACGGAGAATCTATAATTAAATTGATTTTTAAATGTCAGCTGTACAGAATGATGTATGAGCCATTGAATATTGGTGCAATTAAGTTGAGACAAAATTGCATCAGTGCATATTAATACTGGATACAAGCCACGTACACATGTTTTCCAATTTTCTCCCAAAGCTGTAAAACATAAATTGATTAGGATAAAGAGGAAGAATGCCCTGTTAATTCAAATATGCCTATAAAATGATTAACATACCTATTATATCTAACAACTTCATATTTTCATGGATCAATAAAGTTTTCTTTGTGGGAATTAAAAACGTATTTAACTGCATGGCTTCTTCAGCGTTTATGCATACCACCATAGTTCTCAATATAGTATAATCATTATTTAATAAATCTAACATAAAATTAAATAGAAATTCAATATCTATGTTGCGATAAATCAACATCAAATATGCGTATTTACTTTACCTGATATTTTCTGATTTTTATGGGCTGATTTCCAAATGTAAAGTTTTGGACGAAGGGACTTAAAAACGACAGCTTCTAGAAATGATGAAATACATATGAACGGATCGTTCATTACCAGAGATACAAATTTCTTAAGTTCAAGTGTCCATTTTGTTGCCGTCAAAATTATTTGTAATATCGGCCTATTGTCACCTTGTGGCTCACGGTTATCAATTATCCCATGTTTTTTGAATAATTCTCCTATCTATTCAAACATTTAATATCTTGATAAATTCTTAATAGATATAACTTACAATTTCTTTTATATTTTACTTACCGTTTTGTAATATTTAGTCAAAATTATATCGGCATTATCAAAAAGTAGAAGAGAAAGTTGATCAAATGATAAGAAATTTCTATTTTCATTCAAGAATCGTGTTAAAAAGCGTGGTGTAGTCACTAAGATTTGACAGCCGTTATATATCAGTGCCTGTGAAAAAAACAAAAGTGATTAATTACGCGCGCTTTCTTCATAAAATGCCAAACGTTTAAAGATTTAATTAAATTTACCGATATTGATCGAAATGATTTGCCATTAAATGCCGCTACAGACTTTATGTTATTATAAGATTGCAAGAATGTTGTACATATTGATTGAATATTGATTACTTCAAATGCAGATGGACATAAAATTAACGCTGTAGGGTGAGTCGCGTTAGGTGACATCTGAAACATTAAATGTCCTTTATATTAATTATAAACATTATGTGTGTATATAAATAAATGTTATTGACAATATAAATTTTAAAATTATTTTGCTTCTGTCAAAATTCATATGTGTAAAGATTAACATAATAATTAAAATGTTAAATCTTATAATATTCTTACCACCTTAGCAAATTTATCACAAGAAAAAAATAAACAAGGATTAGTAAGATCTATTTATTACTAGCTCTTGTTTATTTAGTTTTTTTTGTTTTTCTACTTAAAACCATTTAAAGAATTATTTATTCAAATTAATTACATTTTGACGCATGACTACTAGACCACAAACAGCCATTACGCATCCCGTGGTTTTACCACATTGTGATGTTCCGATGGCGACAACATTTAATCCTTCCTTTATAGCTGGCCAAATATAAGACTGAATTTTTCTCGGTCTCGTGGAATTGATACATTGATTCCAACCCTACAACGAAAGATATAATATTTTATATATATTTTCTATAATAGAAACAACTAAAATAATTGATTTGTTTCATCTTAATATAGAGAATACAATATGCCTTTCTTAAGATAAATTAAATTATTAAATGTGCCCGTAATACGTAAATATAAAATTTATCATATGATATACCTTATGTACTCCTTTAGGGAAACAAAGATCTGTAACATCACTTATGACTTTATAGTTTTTTCCATTTTGTATCAGAACTTTTTCACTGAAAATGAAACAAAAAATATGAGATATGTAAACTCTTTTCTTTATAAAAGAAAAAAAGATCCTAAACATCCTTACATGTGTCTGATAGAACAATGTTTTGTAACTTTACTGGCAAGTTCCATATTCTTTGGACGATTAGTTGTAAACTTTGCATGTATAATTATGTTTTCTTCCGTATTTTCTTTATGTTCTGCATGACTTGTAGATTCAATGAGTTGTAGTAAATCTAAATACCAATCATATTTTGAGACACATTGCATAGTAATTGAATATCAATTATTCAAAATTTATGTGTATGTACCTCCTGCCAAGTAAATTGCATAATAATTTATAACTAAAGCTTTACTTAATGATACAATAAGATCATCAATTCTGATATAGAATTCCCCGTATTCCCTTCCATTATTTTCATCTGTAGCTAAATGATCAAAATATACTGCTTTAGATGCTGCTAAAAGATTCCTCATGAACTGTGTTGCTTCTTCGCTCCATTCTTCTACAATACTTTAAATAACAGTTACAACATTTTAAAATATGTTTTTAAGAGGAAGCAGCAGCTGTAATTAATGAATCTTACACTGCTGTAGATTTATTTTTATGTCCGTTTGAAATGTTTTTTCTCATACGAATTGGCAATATTTCATGTACACTAACAGTTTTCGTTAGATACTCTTTGGAAATAAAATCTTTTGAAACTTTATAAATTTCATCCCTTTTTAGTTCAATACTTATGCCATAATCCACTAGAAGAACGTTATATATTTCACTTTCCTTTTTAATATAAGTTATTATACCACGACAAAGATATGATGGTAATTCTGCTACACCAGTTTTATGTTGGCTACTTTGTATAAAAACTACCTATAAAATAAATATAATAATAGATATCTATAAAATAATATAATAGAAGATATAAATAATAGTTGTGTGTATATGTGTGTACACACATACATACACATTTAGAGGATTATATATATATATATATATATATATATATATATATATATATATATATATATA